AAATCAATGTTTCTTGCACAACGGTCGATTTCTTCTGGCATGATTGAAGGTGCTGCACATATGTATTTCGTTGTCGCTTATGATTGTCACTGTGCCATGACTTTGTTTAAATTTTTGTAAAATTGCTTAGCACACTTACGATTGCTATTAATTTTGCTTCCATTTTTTTAAGATTTTCTAATTTGAAGTCTTCAAACTAAAAACAAAAGCACCAAAAACGCACCAAGCAAAAAACTCAAAAATGTTTGCGTTTTGAATACCCACTACATTTGGTGCGAAAAGCATCAAGTTGGCAACAGTGAATGTAAACAAAAGTATACTGTGACGTCACCGATTGGGTGGATGCTGTCAAATCGACGAAGAGAGGGTTAGCGGTCCGCGAATGGCGCGACCTTTATTTTCTGGATCGTGCATATTAACCACTACACACTTATTTTCAAGTAAAACTGCGTGTATGTTGTGTACTTTTGCGACAACTGAGCCAGTGTGGCATCAGCGCACCAGAAAAAGCCAATTTTCCAAAACAAAAGCGCCAAGTTTTTATTATCATGTTTAATAATTTTTTTGATTCAGTAAAAAGTGTATATACATATCCATTTCCTCACGTTTTTATTAATAAATTAATTTAAATACATTCACAACAACGCAAAACATATTTAATTTACCTATTCCTCACATTTTATTCAGTAAATGAATTTCATCTTAATGTAGAATATAAGTGTATAGTATGTACATACATACATACACTTGTATGTACCTATGCATTCGGTGTGCTTAAATTAAAAAAGCATCACTAATAGCCAGTTTCACCAAACTATTTAAGTGGAAATGAACTTTAATTTAATTTTGTATTTAATTCTCATTTAAATAATTTCCAGTTTCAATAAACTATTTATTTAAGTGAGTAAAAAGTGGTTGTAAAACAGACTAGGACTAGCTTTCGCTTTCATTTGTACTGAGAGCTTTTGAAAGCTTTGGCACGCTGTGTTGTAAAAGCAGGNCTCATTTAAATAATTTCCAGTTTCAATAAACTATTTATTTAAGTGAGTAAAAAGTGGTTGTAAAACAGACTAGGCCAGCGAAAGCTTTCATTTGTACTGAGAGCTTTTGAAAGCTTTGGCACGCTGTGCTGTAAAAGCAATGGTGGTATACAAGTAAGCATCAGATACACAATGATCAGGTGATTAAACGTGTAACACCTCTGACAGCCAGTTTCACCAGATTCATTTAAGTTTGATTTTCGAATTTTTGGTTTCACCAATCCATTTTAATTTGTTTTTAAGTTTGATTTAAGTTACCTATGCTCTTCACTTAAATAAAAATTAAATCAAAATAACCACTCAGAGGTGTTACACGTTTAATCACCTGATCATTGTGTATCTGCTGCTTACTTGTATACCAGCCCTGCTTTTACAACACAGCGTGCCAAAGCTTTCAAAAGCTCTCAGTACAAATGAANACGTGTAACACCTCTGACAGCCAGTTTCACCAGATTCATTTAAGTTTGATTTTCGAATTTTTGGTTTCACCAATCCATTTTAATTTGTTTTTAAGTTTGATTTAAGTTACCTATGCTCTTCACTTAAATAAAAATTAAATCAAAATAACCACTCAGAGGTGTTACACGTTTAATCACCTGATCATTGTGTATCTGCTGCTTACTTGTATACCAGCCCTGCTTTTACAACAAAGTGTGCCAAAGCTTCCAAAAGCTCTCAGTAAAAATGAAAGCGTTCGCTGGTCTAGTCTGTTTTACAACCACTTTTTACTCGCTTAAATAAATAGCTTATTGAAACTGAAAATAATTTAAATGAGAATTAAATAAAAAATTAAATCAAAGTTAATTTCCACTTAAATGAATCTGGTGAAACTGCCTGTGAGTGTGGTTATTCTGATTTAACTTTTATTTAAGTGAAGAGCATAGGTCACTTAAATCAAAATTAAAATTGATTGGTGAAACCAAAAAATCAAAAATTACAGTAATTTTCACTTAAATGAATTTGGTGAAACTGGCTGTAAATAACTCACCAAGCATTGAATTCCAATTATTTTGACTTTTTGATTTCCCAAAAGCACTCAATTTAGTGCAAATTGCACGACCTTGGCAACAGTGAGCTGAGCACATCCATGCTCAAACAGTGATGCCAGACAAAGTATTGAGTAAATGCACTATGCATATTTTTCTTTTAAAGCAAAAGTTCTAATTGGTGAGGGGATTGATTTTTGGTTCTTACATAGAACACTGATAAGATTCACAAACTTATATTAGGACTTAATTAATACAATCAACATTATTTGTAGACGAATATATTTGTGTTCGTATGAAATAGTAGCATATGTCGGGAGACTGGCTTTAGTAAAATGTACCATTCCCTATATTCTTTAAACCACAAGGAATTTTTTTATGAGACTTCATACGAATATTGAATTGCTAGCATCGCAACTGTCTCTTTTACATTATACTAAAGCCAGTCTTCCAACATATACCTTGTTTATACCTACGCAAGAACCGCATTAACAAAAAGCTGATTTGACTCAACACATATTTCTTTCAAGTATTTATGCATCGGTCTTTATTGCGCACTCGATGAAGCCGTATTTAAAAGCAAACCAAATCTGCCGTTTTTATACGACATTTCTTTAATAACTAACTTGCGCGGTTGACCGAAATGGAAGCAAACAATAGGTGTGTTCTCGTACGCCCAACTATCTAAAGTTTTAGAAAACTTTTACTGGTTTTGCGTTCTCGTACCCAAAAAACTTGCAAAGTAGGGGAAATTGAGAGAGCGAAATGTGAAAGAGAGCTGCAAATTTCTGCTGGAAAAATATTTCCCAGCTAAAACTTGCAAGTAAGAAAATCAGCTGATCACAAACACATGTTTGTAAATAAACAAAAGAAAATATGGCCTTTTTGAGTTATTTATTGCAAATTTTATTATTAATGCTAGTATACAACTAAAAAGTGAGTAAATTGAATATGCACAACGTTTGTTGTGTTTATTTTTCGCTAATTTGCTATTAATCTCCAGTTTGTTTACTTAAGTGTGTGCTGACTATGGTTGCCGTATGACATTTTTCGTTTTTACCATAATTTACCTTTAAATATACCAAAATAGATTTAAATGCAGCATGCTGAAATGTTGTTTTGCTGAAGTTTTCGGTTTTGGTAGGTTGATTGTTGAAATGAAAATTTTATAATTTTAAACCTACTCTATTACATTTTTTTGGATCAATGATGGGTGTTTGGAGGAGATACTATGGTTTTTAATGCGTCACCATGTGATATCAAAAATAATTATGAGAAAAATAACTTATTCATTCCGATATAATTAAATCGTATTTTAAAAAGGCTGCTAAATTCTCAGAACTTTTGCTGCTGGAGAATTTTGTCCTCTCAATACGAGTACACACCTAATAATTCGAATTTATTATAACAATAATTCAAATTTAAAAGTGGATGTATAAAGAAAGCCAGAATTTGTTCACTTCGCGTCAAATGAATGATACGTTTATACCTGTTTTCTAACCGATGTGAGAATTAAAAAACCGATTTGAAAACAAATTCGAGTCAATACACTTTTGAGTTTCTGAGCGTATTGAAATTTGGTTTATGCATACGTTTTGAATCACGGCGAAGTGGGTTAAAGCGCTTTATGTGTCGGTATAAACAAGCTAATAAGCTACTATTCTATACGAACACAGATATGTATACTTCCCAATAGGCTTGTAAAATGCACAATTCCCAAATCCCTCGCATGAGCTATTATCGGTAAAAATTTGGATACGCTTAAATCTGGCATCGCTGCAGCAAATACTTTGTCACGCATGTAAAACAGTGTTGATGTTTTAAGTACAATTGTACTTTTTTCAGTACAATTAATTTTAAAAAGTACAAAAGTACAATTGCCGATTTCAGGTACCATTTCAACCTCAAAAATACTTTTTGTACCAAACGTTCAAATCCCTTCTAGCACTTCGATTCTTAATCCGTTTACATTTAAGTAAATGGATATACCTATATTTCATATTTGCTTAAAATTTATGAAATTATGAATTGTAATTTTGAATGTAAAAGTGGTTGTAAACAGTAATATTAGTGATGTGCGTTATGGTGATTGCGATTTCTTATCACCGGCGGGTGAAATATCCCTTATCGCTATTTATTTTGAAAAAATCTTTGGAAATGCAATTTACCCAATAGCGATCCTGCAGAAATAGAAGTAATTGAGCAATTCGGTGGTTGAAAGTAANCCTGTACATTTAAGAATTTAAACAAAACTTATAACAATTTATTTTTTATAGTTATTTTATTTTTTAATTCAGTTTATAACTTCACATTTGGTTTTGTGCTTTCTCATTCAGTTCATAACATAACCTTTCATTGTATTACAAAAGCTCATGCACATATACAGTGCCGCGCAAAATTATTGAACTACAAAAAAAAATAAAATATCTAAACTTTGTACAAAGCTCAGGAAAATTTAATAANTTGTATTTTTTTATGTTTTTTTAATAATTTTAAATATTTTTTTATGAAATGGTAGCACATTGTCTAACAAAAACCTTGCAAATAAATCCAAACTTGAAAGATTGAAAAAAATCAACAAAGTTTCATCACAGTTTTTGTTCAGAATTTGTAGACATGTTTTGGGTTAACATTTCTGTAGCCCATTCATTCTAGTATAATAAGGAGCAAGTTTGAAGTGTCTAAAAAANTTTTATAAAAAATTTTCAAAAATAAAGAGTAAACAATTTTGCATACATTCAATAAATTTGCACCTTTCTAATCAGATGTTTTCGATAAATTCTCATTGTTCCTCAGTGCAATAAATTTCGCACACACAAAAAACTAAATTCATTTTGATTAAAATTCACTAACAGTAATTTCACTCTCAAAAAAGGAACTGAATTCATATTAATTATAGTTAAGCACTTTGTCCGCTATTAAATACAAAATTTATAATGTCAATTTTTAGACTATCTTGTACTTCTTCGGAATGTTTCAAGAGGTAGCTGTCCAAAACTTTTAAAAAATCTGCGTTTCGGCTTAGAGGCTTTGGGGTTGATTCGGACTTTTGAAGCCAGTCGCTTACAGCTCCATACAGTTTGTCAAGTCGATCCTCGTCACTCTTGCGCTTTGCTTGCTTACTCGTACTGGGGGTTTGCTCTTCTACGCAATGGGCTTCAAAGGAAGAAATTGGCGGTGACGATTCGGTAACGATGGGCGAATCGAATTGCGTCTGATCCTCGTTATCAAAAAGTGACTGCGACTCACATACTTCATGTTCAGCCTGTGATTGAAATGACTCTTTGCTAACAAAGCTTGTATTGCCCAACGTCCTGCGATAGGGAGGAAAATGCAATATATTTATACACATATATAAAATATTTTAGCATTATCATAGGGAATGTTTAGTATATTCCATCACTATTAGGTGCACGATCTCCCTTTTCAAACCACTGTATGTTTTAAAATAACAGGGCAGTCTGTTGACTGTATGAGTTGAAAACCGAAGCTGGAAAACTGCAACGTACATATGTATATCCTACCCTTATTTTGTTTTTTTTAATTTTATTTCATATTCAAGAAAGCTTACCGTCGAGGAGCAACGTGTCGTTGAAGAAACGCCATCGCCTCCATATACCACCATCGGCCAATTTCCTTCGCGGCACTTCCAGAAGGCGCTTTTCCACTTTCTTTTACAAAGTGGTCGCGAAGAGACCTCCAGCGACTCTGGCACTGCTCCACCAGAAGTTTTGAACAAATATGAATTACTAAGTTGTAATAAATTAAAAAATTCTACTTACCACTTGCACCTGTTGCAGCCGCCACACTCATCCAGGCCTTCTCCTTGGCCAACCGGTTTCTGTAACTAATAACACTCTTGTCGAAAAGACAAGGGTGCATTTGCACTGCCTGTATCAAAGTGTTTTCCATTTCTTAATTTAATATATTTTGTTTAAACAATTTTACCACAGACGCGTTGTTGGCACAAGACAAATGAAAATAATCAGCTGACAACTGACAGCGACGGATTTAAGTGCGCCAAAAGTATAAAGTAGAGCGACTCTCCTACGTTGCGGCTTCGCATGCGTTGCGACTGTGGCGCTCTGCATACAAATACATATAATTTACTCAGCCGTCAGTTGAATGCTTCTTCGGAACGCACGTAACGTTTCGCGTTGGCTTTGGCGTTGGCGTCGGTTTGACAGAACGCACGTTAAAAGTATGCTTTCTACAATTAACGCTTGGCAGCGAATGCTTGGGCCACTAAATTAAGATACTAACGACAGATAAATTAATATTTCATATCAATAATTGCATTAAAAACGATATTTCTTGCCCGCACTTGATTAAAAAGGAAAAATATTTCACATAATTTTATTTATTTGCAACAGCTGACGAGCGACGCACGCGAAAAGTTGAGAGTTGGCCATCTTTTTGCTTTGTGTTGGCGCGAGCGTTGTCGAATTTTGGCTGTGGACGGCTGCATTTGAATTCATGTATTCATAGTCAGCTGTTGAAGCGACGCCAACGCCAAGGCAACGCCAAAGTTCCATGTAGACGGGCCTTTATGGTCCATTCAATTTTGGTATTATAAAGTGAAAGTGCGGCTAAGAATGTACAAAAATTTCAGTATGGAAGAAAAAGTGCAACGCCTTGAACGAAAAAAATTCTCAAAAATCTACGCGAATTGAATGTACTATCAAGATCATTTAAACATCTCGGACTCGTCCATCACTAAAAATGATTATTTAAATCTAAAGTATATATTAAATGATATTTAATATTTGCTTTAGAAATGAAATTTCGACAAATTTGTTTAAACAAAAATGTTAAGCGCATATGCAGAATGTGGAAGCGATATTCTTCTGCTTGCGTTTCTATGTTTTTATCATTTATCAGTTTAAGCACATACGATTAAAGGTAAAAAACAAAAAATATTTTTAATTGCGGATCCGAAAGAAATATTTATTAGTTGCATTGAGTTACGCAAAAATTGTGCCGAAAATCAATCGATTGTGCTGAAGGTGCCGGCTGCTTCCGAAAGGGCCGAAAATGGCACAATGCACACTCATTTTCCATCACTGTCACCCATACAATCTCACTATTCTGCTGATTTTGTTTTCCCCTTCCGAGAACTTTTTGCTTCCACGCTTGCCAAGCACCGCTGTGCAAAGCTTTGCACGCGCAGTCGCCCGCGACACATATATGCTGATTTGGGCATCCCTACCATAAGCCATCAAATCCGTTTTTTGTTCCATTCCATGCGCTCAATGTGCTTTCATATTTTGAGCCAAATGAACGCAAATTTTCAACATATCGATAATATAGTATGAAAAGGGCGTATTTCGCATTGTCGCTGAAATTCAAAAAAGCCACAACTAACTACATTTTTTTATTGCATAAAACGATGTTCAGACTTATGGTTCGATGAAATGCATCATAATCAATCAAAAAGTGAATTTTGGAGTTTTAGTTAGTTACGGCTTTTTGTATTTCAACGACCTTGTAAGCTACACCCTTTCCATACTAGACTAACGATATATTGCATTCCAAGTCCCACTCCTCAATAGAATCCTTGAATTAATTCTTATTAGATTTGTTAACTCAGCTGTCAACTTATTCACATGTCATTATATCTTTATTTCGCTGCGTTCTAATTTTAACAATGATCACAAAATTAGAATAAATGCTGTTGTTTTCGAGCTGAAATGCTAATAAAAGGAAACATGGAACTTAATCATAATTGGTTTTGTGAGAAAAAAAACTACACTTATCTAAAAAAAAGTAGAAAAAAAGTAGCTATTTTTTTTTCAACAGACCTTTGACAAATAATATTCGATAGTTTTATAATTCTTACCTAATTGAAGGTTATCATTTAACGCGTAAATAGTCAATTCTCTTTATAGCCAGACGTTGAACATTTCCGCTGGAAATATCTATTGAAGAATCTTGCTCTTTGACTTTAAATTACAAAAGAAGGAGGACGTAAGGGGGCAGTTTTAACGTAGTAAAAAATATTGGCTACCTGGGTTGCGAATGCGAATATTCGCAATAACCCTGATCTGTACAATGGATAAGGTGGATTTCATTACTGCGAATAATGCAAAAATTTTGCAAATAATGCAAACATTTCTAAGCAGAACACATGGAAAATATGAAAATACATAAACATATAGAAGTTTTACAAAATCTTCGGAAAACTTTACTGGAACTTAAACTGAAGCTCCATAGCAGGTTTTTCAGGCGTTGCGGCTTTCGAAGTCGTTAAGGCTTTTCAAGCGAGCAACTCCACAACAAGCTTTTCGTGCTTGAAGTTCCTTTACATTTTGCAGTAAATATTTGCAAACATTCTCATTACAATCACTAATATTTGATTTTCTCTTTTTAAAATTTACAAAAAATATTTTATAGAATAGTTAAAGATTTAGTAGCAAATTATAGGCTGCGTTTCTTTATACATTCCGGATAATCCCATTTCACAGCCGGAATAAACAGAATGCGTATGAAATATACGTCAACGTATCATCAGGAACGTTCTAAAGAATAAATAAACAAAAAAGTTTATTCCAAACGTTCAGAATGAATAAAGAAATGCAGCCATAGAAATTATTTGTTGACAAATACCCAGAAGTGTTGGGATAAGTTTTCCGATAATTGAGATATCGAGTATACAATTAGAGTTCGATAAAAGTGCTACTTCTCTTACCATTTAATTTTAATTGACTCAGTACTTTTGTTCCATTTTTCATATTAATGTTCAAACAATAAATAATTTTTCCTTGTATTTTATTGTCTAACCTTTGAGTAAAATTCCTTTAAAATTATGAACACAGTTCGAAACTTAGCATCTTTCAGGCTTTGCAGACTTCAGTTGTGGAGCAGGTTCTATACAATTTCACTAAATCATCTTTCAAGCTTGAGCGGCTCAAGCCACAACGCCTGAAAAACCTGCTATGGATTTTCAGTTTTACAGCTCCAACAATGTTGCCAGAATATTTTCCCATATCAATTTCAACAGTACAATAAATAAATTAAAAATTCCAGCACTCTCTGGTGTTTTAAGAAGTAGATGTTTCTTTCATTATAACAATATATGACTTAAATATTCCTTTCGATAAAGTCTATTTGTGGTTATTTGTTTATTATCTAAACGGCTCATGTTATTTTATTTTAAACGAATAGTTTTATGTTATGCTTAATAGCATTAAAAATCCGTATTTTTTTTTAAACTCCATTCGATTTTTGAAGATGACAGGTTTTTGGTTGAAAATACAGTTTTTCCCCGGAAATATACAGTTTCTTGAAAAAAAAACTCTGCCAACACTGAGCCCCAAGCACATCACTAGTATAAAAATCGAACTTCTGAGAGATGACAAGTAATGAAAAAAACTCTGCCAACACTGAGCCCCAAGCACATCACTAGTATAAAAATCGAACTTCTGAGAGATGACAAGTAATGAAAAAAACTCTGCCAACACTGAGCCCCAAGCACATCACTAGTATAAAAATCGAACTTCTGAGAGATGATAAGTAATGAAAAGTTCAAAAACATTTTACGAGTTGATCGCTGCACGTTTCTCTATTTGTTTGATTGAATGAAAAACTTACAGAGAGGGGACGACCGTTGGAAAAGCGAATTGGTATTGGGCTTTATTCATAAGCTTCATGTGCGGAGTACAGGCAGAGTATTGGTAACTCTAGGTAACTCGGCACTGAGCAGAGTTATTGAGCTGACTCCCAGTAATTAACCGCATGTTCAGACTCACTTCTAAATACAAACGTGGTTCAGTAACTCCCCGGCACCAAATCAAACTGGTTCAGAACTAGCGCCGAACTAGCTTGAAAAGGGACGGTACTGGATCTTCATCTATCCTAAATCAATGCTGTAAACTGTCTTTTTTAACATGGCGATGGCCTACGAAGTGGCAATTGCTCCACTCTGCACAACTTTTGAACTCATTCTAAATTGGTTCCATTTGGGACAGATTTGGGACAATTAGTTGTTTATTAGAAAAAAATTTGATAATTTTTTTTTTTTGATATTTTTTCGTTTTTCATTTTCATTTGCATTTTATTTAATTTGTATTAAATTTTTTGAGTTTATATAATAATTTTCCCTTAAATTTTTAAGCGGTACGCAACAATTTAAATTTATTAAATCTGAAAATCACAACTGCCTCCACCGCGATTTGAACTCGCAACCAACAATGTTAAAGTCGGAGGTCCTCCCGCACAGCTATTGCCGTATTGTACGAAAAGTGAGAATTTGTGCATTTACTTCTCAGCTTTCACATGCTAAATGTGTGAAACTTTGAGGACAGGAAGTGTCAACTGCCGCGCTCTGCAGCCGTTTTGCACTAGTTCAGAGATAGTTCTGAAATTTGTAGGGCGAACTGCCCGACTGTCTCTAAATTTTGCTGCAGGGTTAGTACTAATTCAGCTTACTCAGGGTTTACACCTGACAATAGCAATACACTTCTTCAATTGTCTCAATCACTGCTTTGAATATTTTGAAGAGGGGCACCGAAATTGCGGATATGGGAAGTCAGCATTTAGACATTATATTGGTTTCAACCGAAACTGTGCATGTATGCTTTATTTCGGTATTTGCCATATGCATTATTTCGGTTTTCAACCGAACCTGTGCCTGGATGCATTACTTCATTTTTTTCATGCATTATTTCGGTTTTTGTTATACGCTTTATTTCGGATTTCTAACGAAAGTGTGCATATGGATAATTCCGTTTTTTTCGAATATGAATTATGTACTTGTACTTAGTAAGGGTTATAATCCATAAGCGCAGCCGAAGGCCACCTACACAGAAAGAAGTTCTGCACAAAAATACTTCCGCCTTCTTTCCGGCAACACAGAAAGGATAGTTCTACTTAGTTAGGGTTATAATCCCTAAGCGCGGCTGAAGGCCGCTTACGCAAAAAAAAAGTTCTGCGCAAAAATAATTGCGCCCTCCCTTTTCCGGCAACACAGAAAGGAAATATCTACTTATTAAGGGTTATAATCCATAAGCGCGGCCGAAGGCCGCCTACGAAGAAAGAAGCTCTGCGCAAAAATACTTCCGCCCTTCTTTCCGGCAACACAGAAAGGAGAGTTCTACCTACATCTTTTTTTCTCGCACTTGGAATAGTTTCTCAGTGTTTCCGATCT